ACTACCATCTTCTTGAAATCTCCCGATTTTTCACCACTCCCTTGAAGAAGTTTTGCACTTTTTCACCAAAAAAAAACTAAAGTCGAGCGGGACGGGGGTGGGGGCACAGGGTATACAGTGCCAGTGAAACAACGGGGAACAACAGGAAAAAGTAAACAATCCAAATGATTTTTCTCAAAAACGACTGTGATCCCCTCCCAAACGGACAAAGACTGAGTCCTTAGCTGGGGATCCCCAACGTAGGACGCGCCCTGAGCGGGACGGGCGTAAGGAAATTTTTAGGTGCATGAAAGTCGCCAGTATTCTGCTCTCACAGCCCTCACCTCCCTCATCTAAAATCCACAACGGAGAAGGGCTCAGACTTGACGCCTACCTGGCTAGAACTCGATGTTGTGGGACGAATTTTCTCAAATTGTCGTCTTGTGCCTCTTTGTAGCCGACTACGTACAAACCGAGCTGCACATTGTATATGGAGTCGTCGAAGTAGTTCACTGTCTCTGTAGCTGCAAAGGTCCGAAGAGCCGTGAAATTGCGCGGGTACCTTAATGAGAATTATCGGGCTTCACATTGCTGTTACAGTTTAGGTCGCGACCCGTGCAAACCATAGAGCTCGTGTAGGGGCGTGATTTGGAGCGCTAGGGCACCCTTTACCACCAATCAAAGCCGAGTCAGATGGCGTCATTGGTGGAACAGGCCGCCCTGGCCGGGCTCGTACCCAAGCCCTGTCACAAGCCCTATCGTTTGAGCGTCATGGCTGTATTCTGAGGTTTCGGCGGAATCCTCATGGTGTGAAGCCCCTATTGAAAACCCGTCGTCTCTGATCTATTAGGCGAAAAAAGCGAAGTGCAAAAGATACGAACCATTTGAGAGTCATCTGAGCTGGAGGGCGGATGAGTACCCAAGGATGGATATTCCCGATATCCAGACGCATCGGGTCCAGTGTGGGTGGAACTAAATCCATGAAAATATGGGCGTTACTCTTCAGCTGTGAGAAGGAGGCTCATGGAGCTCGAGCAATGTTGCTCCGAACTTAGCCCATAGATAAACGGCAAAATCTTCAACATGACCCACTCACCAAAGTAAATGAATCCAACATAGGCCTTTTCGTCGTTTGAAAGGCCCGATTGCGGTTGGAAGT